AATATGTGATTCCAATTATTATAGACTTAAGATATATATGTATATATATATATATATATATATATATATATATATATATATATATATATATATAAGAAAAAAATCAAATTACCCACTGTAGTTTGCAAATTCAATTATAAACATCAAATTAAATATAAGGATGCATTTAATATCATATAATATAATAACATCAAGTGATCAAAATAAGGTTGAAGATTTTAAAGTATATTTATCTTTCCTCACATTTTGTTATAAGCTTCTGTCATCATCAGTGAAGATGCAAGAAATATAATGTACAATAATACATAACTACAGAATAATAGTACATAAATGTAATTTGCAATACAGAGTCCGAATTTGCCTTGAAAGAATCGGTGAAATCTCTGTCCTTTATTATATTTTTTTAGCAAAATTATATGAAAAATTATTACTGGCACTTGTAACACAACAAATTATATATCTTATATCTTGTACAATATATTCGTTGTGACAAAAATTATATTCACTGATGATAATATAGAATTTTATGTCGAAACTTTTAGAATAAAAAAGTTGAAAGCTTTGCTATCAAGAAATATAATATATCCATATTATATATATATATATATATATATATATATATAATCTAGTTAAGTGCAATAATGTATTTATTGACTTATCACATATTGACACGATTTTATTAAATGATGCGCTGTTATGTTAAACGACCGTTACTTAACGAACGCGTAAAATAACTGTATTTTAATGTATTCCCAATCCCAATACATTGACGAAACTATCGAAGAAAAAGATACTGCTATACTGCATAAATTATAAGCATATATCCGCTGTTTCATTACAAAACTGCTCTTGTTTGAATTAAAATAATGCACCGTACTCATATTAAATATACTAATCAAAATCAATATGTATTATCACTCACCTTTTGGAATAATAATTCTACTGATACAATCATTTTAAACTAATGTCTTTTTTTTTGGATTGCGTTAAAGAATAAATGAAAAATAAGTAATAACTTCTGTTAGAGGACAATCACTCGCATAATGGCAATCGAACACAAATTCACAACACTTTTTGAATCTTTTATTGAAACGTGTTTTTAATTTAAAAGGTGAGAACGCGATCTGAGAGTTGTGAGACCCGAGCTGTTGCACATCGTGTTACCTACTGACGAGTGACAACTGAAACTGACACAAGAAGAAGTTCAGGTTTGGCCGAGCGCCGACAGATGAGCAGGTAGGAACTCCTTCGCGGACCGGCAAGACTTCGGACAACACGATCAACTAACCGCTTCGCATTATCGCATTGACTCGACAGTCGCCACCATCGACAGAGCCACCAGCGTATATCTTTAATTTTAATCATTTCGAACTACGAATTGATAGTGCGGGCTTCGGGGGCGGTCTTCGTCTTTTCTAATAAACCACCCCTATGCATGTAGGATATGTAAAAAAGTATTCTCTGTTAAGGCGATAATGTCTTTAATTATGTCCCCGTCGTTCACTCCCGGTACATTTATTACACTTTAAAAACTTATGAGATCTGTAAATAACGGTTCAATTCTAAACAACAATCGACATATAAAATTAAATTTATTTATTAAAATATTTTAAGTATTTTTGCGCGCTTGTTTTCAATATATGTCTAGTTTCGCAACAGAATGTATACTATAAATTTTAAACTAGTGGTGAATGGCATCGTGCCTTAAGGCAAATTGCTGGAACTTCCCGTACCAAAAATTATTATTTTTTTTAAAAACGATTAACATTTTTGAAAAAATTTTACTTCGAAAAAATTTTTTTTTGAAAACAAAAAATTTTTTTGAAAAAAAATGTTTCCTTCATTTTGACATATTTTGGAAATTCTGAACTTTTTTTCAAAGCAATCGTACTGCTTGAACTGCATACAGACGAAATCTCAAAGCGCGTAAGTGCCGCGCCGCCGTCTAACGGATTGGTACGGAACCCATAGAAATGTAAAAAAATTATACTTATTGTTAAAATCTCTATAAAATATCTGATAATTTGATGTGCATATGTCTAATGATCATTTTTGACCGCCAAATGGCATTTTTTTTACTTTTTTCATTAGATCTCCGAAACCGCTAGACCTGCCTTCATGATCAATTCTTCATCTTGTCAATACAAATAAAATGTTTTTTAAATTATTAAAATCGGACGCTCCGTTCCCTTAAAAACTGAGTTACCATTTTTGGGACTTTTTGACCCGTATCTTCGGAACGGCTAGACCTGCCTTTGCCAAAAACTAATCAGCACGTCTCCTTATCAATACGCATCGAATGTTTTTGAACTATTCAAATCGCTTAATCGGTGTTCCCGAAATCGTCGACGAAAATTTGTATCTGCACACACATACACACATGCACACACACACATACACACACACATACATCCATTTTTTCTAAGGTATGCCAAAATATTAGAAACCTTTGAAACGTAAAATATATAAAAATTTTCATTTTCGATTTTTTTGCGATTACTATAACTTGCCCTACGGGAAGTTAATAAATACTGTAACATTGTCTAATATTTATAAGAATTATATAAACTGAATTGCAAATTTAAAATTATTTATTTGTATAATATTTGTATATTTGAAGTATATTAGTGAGCTTTACAACTTTAGCTAGAAAATTCAATTTATTTTCGATATTCAAAAAAAAAACATTTTTGAAATTCAAAAAAAACTATAACTAATATTTTTCTTCAAAAGCAATCGTCTGTCAACACAAGCAGAAAGTTTTTTGAATCATTCAAATCGGATGCTCAGTTCTCTCAAAAATTGCATTTTTTGCACATTTAGCTCAGTATCTCCAAAACGGCTAGACCTGCCTTTGCCAAATCACCAAGGGTAAATATATTAATAACCAAGATAAATATGTGCAATAATCAGGATAATAAGAAATTGAGTGATACGAAATTACTTATTGTTAGTCTATTGTAAAAAAATATCTAATATACAGGTACATCCGGTGCCTACTTAAAGTAAATAATATCGTAATAATAAAAATATTTAAAACGAATTCTCAAAAATAATAATAAAAGATTTCAAAATAATGCTTAACATTTTCAGTTCAGTTTTTATTTTATAAACTTTGTATACAAGGTGCCCCAGAACATCAAGCCGAAACGGTGTGATAGAATAGTACATATAGATTGTAACTATCATGAAAAACATAGACAAAAAAATTATCCTGTGTAGTTTGAAAATTATGAGCTTTTAAGTACAGTCTAGAATTTCGTTATATTGGGATAATTTGTATGTTATTCATTACATTTGTTCATTCGAACTTTGAAATCGTAACCGTAAATAATTTTTCTGACCCACGGTAAAATAAGACACAATTTCGCCCAGTTTTCTGGAATTAAGACTATTTGTTAAACTATAATTTTCAAATTTTCAAAATTGATAGTTTTTGGAACCCCCTCCTTAAAAAGAATGTACTAAAGTTTGTTGACAAGTTTCATCAAAGTTCGCACATTTAAGCAAGATTGTAAAATAAAAATACTTGATGGCATCATAATAAAAAAAAATCGAGTAAAACATAAAAACCTAAAACTAACACAATTTTTGCAAGTGCATTTTATTAACAAATGTTCCACCGTCATCTGTAGCCAAATTTGTATATATATATAACATACTTTTTCATATAATTTTAATGACTGTGAAACAGTTAAAAAAAGGGATGGGCGCCAAAAGTAAAAGGAATTTTTTAAGATCAACGTAAAGAAGTTTTGTTTGTTTTATGTAAGAAAAATTAAATTAAATTACGTTTAAAATCCTTCTTATTGTTGTTTTAATCGAAAAAAATTCGTTAAATTGCCATAGGATAATAATGTTTACAGTATTTGAATAACATTTAATATAGTTTTAAGTTGTCCTTACACCCATCTTATAATACCTTAGATATAATTAGAAGAAACTAAATGTAATAATATTACCAATTAAAATATGTAAGAAAAAAGTGATCGATGAATTATTTTCGTGTCACTGAATTATTATGATAAAATAGTTCACACAGTGTATAATTTATACACAGTAAAAATAATCTTCACTATTGCAAATCATTCAGGGGTTCAATATTAGTGTTTCTATAATAGCTTTATGATACATACATAAACTTTTCCTTGTCTAATAAGATTTCTGTCAGTAAATTCGCCCGACTCATGTTACCATTAGTACAAATATTTGTTTTGAACGTAATTGACTGAAATAGGTTTTATGGCAATAAATGCGGCTAAAATTCCACCAAACATATCTTTAAAATAATTTTATGCCAACAAAACGTTCCATAAATTTTATAATTTTGGGTAACTATTTGAAATAATCTTATGGCAATATAGACAACTCTGATTTAGCAACGCAAATTTGTGTGTATATAATGTTCATAAGTACAAGTTATTTATTTTCAAATTTCTAAACTGAAAAAATCATCTGAATGACTAAACAAAAAATTGAAATATTTAAGCTTGTAAATATAATAATGTTAAATTTGTAAAAAAGCTTAATACCATTACATTATAACTATTTCATTCAAAATAGTATGTCCAGTAGTATGTCCAAAATAAAAGCATTTTCATTTTAAAAATATATGTAATTTAATAATTTGTCATTGTTTTGTTTCACAATTAAACTAAATAACATAGCTTAAAGTATAGTTGACTATAAATATATTTTACAATTCTTAATTATTACATTAATATGCTTATATCAAACAATTATATATAACTTATACAATATAGCAACTCAGCTTTAACAGAGCATACAATCAGTTTTACATCAAATATAAAAATGAGCAAATAAAATAAAAAGAAAATTAAAATGTAAGTATGAAAGTGAATAATCAAATATTTTATACATAGAAATATGTAAATAGTACAAGGTGCAGATCTTGTGAAGTCATTATATGAAAAAATTAAACATGGGATGTTTAAAGTCAGTCCTTATGGAAATAAGTGTAATTGATTAATCGTCAAATCTAATGGAGTTCACAGACATGTCAATGGCACCACCTCGATATGAACCTCGTTTCTTTTTAGTCTTTTCATGTCTAAATGATTTTCCTCTCGTGTGTTTCAAATCAAGATTAGCCCTTTCACCCCATGATCCTCGTGCTCCTTTCTAAAACAAAACAAAAAAAAAACGTTAATAAAATTAGGAAAAATTACTTCAAAAAATAGTAAATGATTGCAACAAAAATGTTTTGTGCCTTATTAACCTACCTTTTAATACAAATCAACTTAAATCTAATCATCGAACGTAATTTTCTTATTTTCTCCTGATGATCCGAAGCTTTTGTTGAAGCCACCACCGCCTCCGCGCCCACCCCTATCGCCAAAACCACCCCGGCCACCACCACCTCGTCCACCTCGACCGCCAAAACCACCACCGCCACCACGGCCACCCTCGCCTCCCCAAGATTTACGGAAACCTCCACGATCACCACCGCCGCCCCCGCGACCGCCAAAGCCACCGCGACCTCCACCGAAACTTTTTCGATCACCACCATTGCGATTATCACCATCTCGATCTCCCCCAAATCCACCACGTCCACCTCGCCCGCCAAATCCCCCACGGCCACGACCTCCGCGGTCGCCACCCCCTCTCCCACCAAAACCGCGCCCGCCTCCACGGCCCCCATTAAATCCACCGCGCCGATCATTAAATCCTCCAGATTTGTTATGAGGTGAGTTGGTGTCATCATTCTTCATTAAGCAGGCACAATATATAAAAAAAGAAATAGATCAGTTAACATATACATTGCACGAAATCAAGCAATATTTAAAAATGAGATCAATACACTTGTCAATTCCAGTGCCAGTTTTTGCTCAAGCATATATAAAAATGATGTACGAAATCAAAATGTCACATTCGTGCACTGCACATGTTAACCGATTGTTATTGATACAAAAACTGGCTCTGACCTTTGCTTCAAATGAATTGTCTCCAACACGAGGATCAACAGTAATCTCATCATCTTTTACACGTCTAAATGGAGTGTTTTTGTTGCTTTTGCGTTCTCCAAATGAATTTGGTGTTTTATTCAAAGAATTGTTGACAGGATTTTCAGAATTGAAATTACTGTTTGCCTTAGAATTTACCTGTTTTAAAATGGTTATTAAATTATTTTGTGAAATAGTTTTGAAAATAATGTTTTAACTTTACCTCTTCAGTTCCATTTTCGCCAGCTTTGACAAAATTATCATACGTTGGCTTTTTAGCTACTGGTTTTGAAGCCTCTTCCTCTTCATCAGAATCATCAGAAGAAGATTCGGCTTTACGTTTCTTTGTAGAGGTTTTAACAGGCGACTCACTTTTCTTCTGAAAAACAATGAAAATTATAAATCGAGATAAATTTATATTTTGTGTATGAACTATTGAAAATTACCTGTTTGGCTGGAGTTACTGAAATAGTTTCTTCTTCAGAGGAATCACTATCACTAGATGATTCTGGCTTTGTAACTTTTGGAACTTTAGCTGTAGGTGTAGATGTTTTTGATTTTGCAGGTTCATCTTCATCAGAGCTATCATCATCGCTGCTAGATTCCTTCTTTGCAGGTTTAGCCACAGGAGTTTTAACTGCAGCTTTCTTGGGTTCTTCCTCAGAACTTTCTTCACTAGAAGATTCTTTCTTTGTAACAGGTTTTGTTTTTGCAGGTGTTTTGGCAGCCGGCAATTGTTTCGGCTTTACAGCAGGAGCCTCTTCTTCAGAACTATCATCACTACTAGAATCTTTCTTAACAGCAGGCTTTGCGGCTGTTGTCTTAGTAGGTAAAGGTTTTGTATCTTCGTCGGAACTGTCACTATCACTACTAGATTCCTTTTTAGGTGTTGCAGGTTTTCCTTTTTTGACGGGTTGAGCTTTTGGTTTGGGAGCTTCATCTTCACTCGAACTATCGTCACTACTGGATTCTTTCTTAGACTTTACAGGAACTGGTTTTGTAGCCGATTTAGCAGGTGTTTTAACTTGCTTTGGCTTAGATTCTTCTTCAGACGAAGAACTTGATTGAGTTGTTTTTACAGGCTGTTTGGTTACAGGTTTTGCCACTGGTTTTGCTGCTGTCTTTGCAGGGGGTTTGGTTTCTTCTTCTGATGAAGACTCTTCACTACTCGATTCTTTTGGCTTAGCAACAGGTTTTTGTACAGGTTTGGTTGGTTTTTTGACCTCTTCTTCAGAAGAAGATTCAGAACTAGATGATTCTGCTTTTTTCGGCGGTGCTTGCTTAACTGGTTTTGCGGGGGATTTAGTTTGTACAGTAGCCTTTGTCTGAACTTTGGGTTCATCAGAGTCAGAATCAGAATCGCTATCACTAGTATCTTTTTTCACTTCTTTTGGAGCAGGTTTTGGCGCAGATTTTGCAGGAGGCTTTTGTGCTGGTTTAGCTTCTTCTTCACTGCTAGAATCTGAAGATGATTCTTTAGCGGCAGGTTTTGTCTTCGTAATTCCATTAGAAATAGGCTTCACGCCTTTCACGGGTTTTGTGGGAGGCGTATCTTCCTCAGAGGAGCTCTCGTCAGAAGAACCGACCGAAGATAATTTTAGCGGTGGGATTTTTTTCGTCGATGTCTTTTGGTAATGTGTGAAAACATCGGCGATTGTAGGTGATCCTTTTGGTAGAGGAGGCTAAAAAAAATAAATCATTCACTAAACAAGTATAAAAATAAAACACGTGTTTTCAAGCGAATTCACATGTAAAAACAGCATGGAATTGTTCACAAGTAAGAACAGAAATAACTTACTTTATTAACTTAAAATACATAATTAGCATATAAAACGTGCCATGATAACGTTTTGTTGTACGTTCATATCCAAATCAAATGTAAATAAAAGAATCGGCTGAACAACTCACCGCATTGGTTTTCTTCTGGAACACATTAGCTAAGTTCTTGTCTTTCTTGTTCAAATACTCTAACACTAAAGCGGACAAACAAGCATCGTCTACCGCTGCCATTTTTCACAAAATACAAAATATTATTCAGCTAACCTAAAACTCGTAATTATTCCAATACCATGCGCATCCCATGCGTTTCAACACTTCTCGAACAGAGCAAAATACAGAAAGGCTGCGACTCGTAAACTACACGGATCGGTCACTCCAAAGAATAATTCGCTCGGATACCACAGAACAAGGCGCACTTCCGGATATATGTATTACCTCAAGCAACTTCACCTCATAAAATATTTCATGTGTGGTACCAACTATAAAATAAAAAATAAAGGTTGATAAATATTATGAAATTTAAAAATAAAGATTAATAAAGTATATTAACTTTAACGAGTGTTTATTAGTTTATAGTATGCATACATGGTTCCATACACAGAAACAATTTAGAATTTAGATATAATAATTATTAACAATATAATCACATATCTTTTAATTATGTTTATATTACAATTAAAAGTTTACACACTGCGTTTTGGTATAGTTACAATATCTTTGATGGAAATCATTTTTACTTCGTTTTGGAAATAATTAATAATGTTATATATATTATATTATATAAGTATATATATATATATATATATATATATATATATATATATATTATAAATAAATGTATATATATACACATTTGATATCTATCTATTTATCTGATATTTATTTATTTATATATTTATTACTGCATATATTGCCGCGTCTCCACTGTTACGAATCCGTGCGGCGAATGGTGCGTCACGAACAAATTTGCGCAGCGGAGTGATACTGTGCGAACGCACGAATTCCCTTTAAATTTGTCCACTGCGCATGTCCATAGCGCACTTTTTTCTTCTTTTTTTGTTTGAAAATGGGAGGGGGGGTTATTTTTAGAATTACGTACCCTGCCGAACATGGTCGAAGCGACACGAAAATTTCAATAGCTTGCGTTCGCGGCGCTCGCTCCCGCCGCGAGCAACCCGACGCATCGGGCTGCCGAGAATACCCGAACCGACACTAATGGATTAGCGTCAAAGCGCGGATCAAAAATGTAAATAAGTAAGCAGTCATTAAAATTGATGTACTAATTATAATTTTATCTAACTATTAGTATAGGAAATACATCGGTAATTAAGTTATAGATATGTTGAAATATATGTATATCCAACTAAAATATATTTTGGTAGACTTTATTTATCATATTTCAGAGTTAATTTTATATCATCATGATATTATCATGTATATATATATATATATATATATATATATATACTCTTACTACTTATATGACGTATCATATATTTATTATTCAAAATAAATTAAATGTTTCAAAAAAAAAATGGTAATATTGTATTATTTGCAATTACGCTAAATATCATTTAAAATCTTATTAATATGCAGACTGAATTTTTGCTCAAAGTCTTTTCTGACAAGTATTTATATTTAGAACAGAAGTAATAATTTTTATTCAAAACTGATAATTGTTGGTCAGCCTGCCTCTGTATTCGTATACGTTATTTCTTTGAACTTGTACGTAAACGTTGATCTGTGCTACGGTATAAGTTCAATTGTACAGTGAAGGCATTAAGATATTTCATCGAATCCTCAATTTTGAAAATGAATATGCGTAGAGAAGATGTTATACTTCTTTACACTTCTTATAATTGAACTGTATCAAGAAAAAAAATATTATGGAATCCTAAAAATTTCAAATGTATCAAATTGCTCGCAGTGTGCGTCGCGCACAAGAGCCAACGCATGCGTGCGTCGCGAACAGGATTCGCCGCACGGATTCGTGCAGTGGGGACGCAGCATATGATATCGTTCATAGATAAATCGCTCTTTGACAAGAATGAATGACTACCAACATCATAATTATTAAAGTGCTGTCATCACGCTGTCAAATACTTGTGATGAATTTGTAAATAAATTGTAAATAAGAAATTAAATTTTTTGTTAAAAATTATAATAGGACGTAATTAGAATTATTTTGAAAATATTTGGTACTTTGGTAGATTTAATAACATTTTTGAGAATAAGGCTTCAACACGGGTAACGAAATGTCTGCCTCGGCCATGGAAAGTATCCTTTTTGTTTAATATATTAACAAATACTAGACTTGATTTTTTTATTAGAATGACACAATATATTTAACCTGCTTGGAAACAAGATAATATTTGTAACTTATCACATCTTTGCCCATGTCATAATAGTTCTGATGAAATGATTCATCAAATAACACTTGAATAAGCGGCAAGCATAATGTTTGCAGAGAATATAAAATGAAATATATATTTTACAAATGCTCAAAATCATTGTAAATTACTTTTTTTTTAAATATGTCACCAACATAACTTTGATTGGGTTCTAGACTACATTGTAAGGAAAGGGTGTCAATGTTGATTTGAACTAGAAAGTTTCATTTCAGTTTATTTGAGCATATACTCAATTCTGGACCTAATAGCTTTTATTATGCTAATATATAATGTTTTATATTTTAAATAATCATTAACGTAAATTTATTTTATACCATACTATTTTGTAATAATAATATGTTCTGTGATGTGAAGAGAATTGCAAATTAACTTTATATACAGAATACTATGCATGCAAAGTTCTAACCAGGTGTCAAATTTATATCACTATATATTTTCTTCATTGATGATGATCAGAACATCTCTTTAATTTAAAATTTGCTGTAAAAGAACTGGAACGAAATTCAAAAAGATGCGAAAAAGAAGAAAAAGTGGAGAAAGCAAAAACAAAGAAAGCTATTCAGAAGGGCAATATGGAAGGAGCAAGAATACATGCTGAAAATGCAATTCGACAAAAAAATCAAGCATTGAATTATCTTCGCATGAGTGCCAGAGTTGATGCCGTAGCTAGTAGAGTACAAACTGCCTTAACTACTAGAAAGGTATTTATATAACGATGCAAGATTGATTATCAATTCAAATTTGTTTGATAAGCATAAAATAACACTATACTTAATACCTGGCACTTGATTTTTGTGTTTCCCTTTTTTGTGTCGATGTACTTTTTAATTTAAATGTGTTATTATTGTTACATATTGGAATATAATAAGAGGAATATGATAAGAGATTCGTTTTTTCTTCCTTTGAAGCACAAATGTTATTTTCATTTTTCTTATTCATTAATATTTTAAATATTTTAAAATTTTTAAATTAGGTTACTAATTCTATGGCTGGTGTTGTGAAAGCTATGGATGCAGCAATGAAGGGTATGAATTTGGAAAAGATCTCTGGTCTTATGGATAAATTTGAATCTCAATTTGAAGATTTGGATGTGCAAAGTAGCTACATGGAAAATGCTATGTCTACCACAACAACAACTACAGTTCCTCAAGGCGATGTTGACCAACTTATGCAACAAGTAGCTGATGAGGCAGGGTAAGTAAAAATTGTTTAAATTATATTCTTAGCGATTGTTTTTACATCAACTATGATACATGACATTTACAGCCTTGAATTAAATATGGAACTGCCTCAAGGAATAGGCTCAACTGCTATAGGTGCATCCACACAAGCTTCGCAAGAGCAAGAAGAATTAACCCAAAGATTGGCTAAACTCAGACAATCAGAATAACTAAATGTATTGTATAATTTTTATAAAGATATGAAATATGTAAGTTAGAGTTCACACAAAAATTAATAATTTTTTTCAGTATACAAATTAAGAGTTACTGGAAATATATTTGAAATATAACATTATTACTATGTGGCACTTTCAAGTCAAATTGGGCATGTGATAAATATTAAAATTTGCTTAAGCTTTTATTAATACAATATTATTAGTGCGCTTAATTGGAAATCCAGTATCAGCTGCTATTTTAAATAATTTTGTCAGATACTTGTATATTTTAAAATGGTTAAAATTTTAATATAATTTTTTAATTGTTACTAGCATTTGTTATTTCAATAATAAAGCCACATACAATTTACAAAGTTTCTCTAGGCGTAGCGTCTCTAATTCAAGAATAAAATTGTAAAATAATTTAATTTGAGCTAATCAAACAAAATAAAACCGTGATGCCTTGAGTTTCATTGTCATTTTGTAGACATTTGAATTTTAATCAAGGTGCTCTTTTAAGTATTGCCTTATTCATAATTATCATTAAGCACTTTTGCGTTCTTTTGATGCAATCGGGTATATTCCTTGACATTGTCCTTGTATTAAAATTATTGTTGAAAATTAAAATTAAACTTATTTTTTTACAAAATCTTCATTGAGTATTACATAAACCTGTTTTGATTCTAGTGTTCTCATGCTATAGTGAGTATTATGCTATATAGATGAAAGTGGAATATATAAAAAAATACATTACTTTATAATTTTATTTACTATAAAGTTCATATATTACATTAAACGATATGACTAACAAATTAAATAAATATATATATTTAAACAAAAAACTAAAATAAAAACTTTTGAAGTTATAAAAAATTTATGAAAAAGAAACACAACCTTTAACCATATTTAAAATGCTGTAAATGAAAATTAAGTACTTATTAAGTATTTATATAATAATTGGTAACAAGTCCCAGCTTTGTTATACAACTAATATTTATCTTTCCAAATTCATGTAATTTTAATTACCTAAGACAAATATGCAATCAAAAAGCATTTGGAGGGCAAGCATTTGGAAGAGATGATATTTATCAAAAATCACAGATGTACCAGTCATGGCTAACCATGAAACAATTTTATACAATAAAATTTATTTCAAAAGGTGTCGCAAGCATGCTTATGTTGACTAAATTCTGCTATGATTCTTATCATTTGTGTAATTAATTTAATATCAAGTTCCAATGAATTCATATCAGAAAAAAATAGTATAGAATAAATGAGCATATTTTTCCCAATTTCTACATCAGAATATATTTCAATTTATTCAAATTTTTTAATTAGCCAAAGCTGTGTCTGTAAAAAAATCAATTTCATCTAATTTATAATTTTCAAAGCATATTGTCATCATATACTTTTTAGTAACTTACATTAGTTGATTAGAAATCTTCAATCACATTTCATTTCTTTTATATCTTTGTGAACATATTAATATATGTGATACATATATTATTAATTTTATTCTATTTAAAACATACTTTAGGCAAATTGGCAACTTTAAGATTATACTATGGAAATGAATATAAACACAGGCAGTTTTGAAAAACTCAGACATATTTTAAAGATATTTAAAATTTGTAAGATACAATTTCCTACTTTTGAAACAATTGTTTCTGCGGAAAGCTTCAACGGGACGCATATTTTAAACGCTTTCATCTTCAATGTTTGTGTAACTTGATAATTTATTATTCATCAAAAATACATTCTAAGCCTAATAAGTATTCTATATTTGAAATGTCTTGTTCTTATCTTATAACCTTCTTGTTTTTTACCACTTAATAATTATTAATAATGAATGAATTCAGGTAAGATTGTAAGGCTTTTTCATAAAAATTTATATAAGGAATAAAATACTTCTTTATTGAGTGTTAATTTAAGAAAAAAATGTAGCGTATTCATACGATTTGACTGTGCAATTTGAAATATTTAGATATTTCAGCCACATAGTATGCAAATATTGAAGGCAAATCATGTAGTGACACCAAAAAGGATGAATTTATTATAAAAATACACGTCCACGAAACTTTTTGTCTGAGGTTCATGTAACACGCGGAGAAAATAGTTGTATTAATATTAGTCAACAATTAACCAATTCTCCTATTTTGAATTTTTCAAATATTCTGTTGAGCCCAATAGTTGCACCAACATAATTCACTCAATATTCATTCACGCTAAATAATCAGCCATACAATTTCAAACGCCCCAGCGTCTACATTTGCACGGTTAGTGGGCCTTGAGTTTATTATGCTCGTACTCCGACCGAGACTGAAGGGATTGCGATTTTGCGGCATGTTTGCCGCCTTCGCCCAGATAACTTTTGTAGAAGAAGCGCGCGAATAGTACGAAGTAACTGAAATACATCGCAATGGACAGCTTGATGTTCATCGGGCTAATGTGGCAAGCACCGGTACCAGCCGTCTGTAGAAAACCGTGCGCCCAGATATTGATAGCACAACCCACTATCATTTGAATTAACTGCAATGATGTGATTACCATCGCAAACCACCTGTGGGAAATACAAAACAAACATTGAGCACAAATATATTATTTTTCTATAACTTTTCTGATTAAATCCATTGGAAACATACAAAATCGTTTATATTAAATAACGTTCTATGGAATAATATTGCTAGTGCAGTAAACGGAGAGGAAAAAAGGGTATAACCTCTAAATTTTTTTACTGTGCTCCGAATTGAATGAAATTTTGGAACTAGGTTCATCTTACCCCCAAGTTCAAAAGTGAAAACAATTCGGGTTGCGCCATCACCCCCCAGGGGGATGACACCCCCTCTCAATTGTGTAATTACATTTTTTCAAAATAACGTCGGAAATCGATAGAAGAACTATTTATAAGAAAAAAATGTCTTCTATAGTTTTTCAAAAAAACTAATACTTTTCAAGTTACTGGCCACTAAATATTCATATATTTTTGGTGTTTTTCTTCGTTTTTTTGCAAATATCTCCTAAAATATATATTTTAACGAAAATCATGTTATGAACAAAATAATGTCAATAAAAATTTTAATAAATCGGTATTACATAAAGTGTTCTAGGAAAAATATTAAGCAAGATTTGAAAGAGCAAAGTCGTTTTTTATTTCGTTCAAGATTTAATTGTTGTATTTAAAGCCATCTAGTGTCGAGGTTTTACATTTTATGCATTTCGGTGAAATTGGGTTTTATAGTGCTCAACATAAGCTTTAAAATGAGTGCTGTTACAAGTTTTTTGCGTGTAAAATGAGTGAGCTATCGTGCAAATAAGAAGCATATACGAAGTTTTTTTCTTTTAAATCATATGGTTTAATGAGCGCCATTTCCACCAGAATTAGAGTAATTCACATTCCATCTAGAATTCACTTCATTATAGACATCTTGATGGATTCTAGCAGATTCATTACTTTAGTACAAACTATGTTCAGAAAACTCACGATTTTATAAAAAAAAAATTTTCCATTTTCCAATTTCATTCAATTCGGAGCACCGTAAAAAAATTCAGACCTAAAACGCTCCTATAAACGTTTACTGCACTATGCTGTCAATAACTTCCTACTTCCTATGAATAAAATTAATGTCCAATCACCTGGGTGGAGCCAAACGTAAACTGCGAAGTGCGAAGTATGAATACATGACGGAATGCACACAGTAGTTCATCACAATAAACCATCTTGCACTTGAAGTATATTCGGTGTAGGAGAACCAGGAATAAAGTAAAACGGTTATGTGATGATACCAGTGTAGGAAGATTAGCGGTTGCTTGCGCAAAACTATGAACAAAGTGTCGCCCAACTCGGGGAGTTTAGACAGCACGAACAACCATGTCCAAAAGCCGCTTACACGATCTTGTTCGATGAAGCTAAAAAACAAAGAATCACTAACTTAGTACTAATTTATTATATAGCATATAAATGGTGTATTACATATTACACTATCAACCTTAATCAATTTAAGTGATTTTTTTTTCAAATTTCAAATGTGATTGATCTTATTATTTTGCATCAAATTGGAAAACTAAAAGATTATTTATGTCAGCACGTCGAAAAATTATCAAATAGTTTATGTTAATATTTGTTAATTTTGAGGATATTTTCTACCAAAGCATATTATTCACGAGATACACATCAGTTCAAATTGAAAAATGTACTTGATTGATAAATATTATTGTAATATATATATATATATATATATATATATATATATATATATATATATATATATATATATATATATATTAGGGTGGTCCTTAATTTGGACATATTTGAATTTCTTTGCTCCCAAGGGCTCAAATGGTACCAAATTAATAAAAAAGAATTCTCTGAAAGTTTTAGCTCCAAATATTAACTTTTAAATAGTGCGCAATTTAATCAAACTTCGTATGGAAATAGCATAGAAAAAATTTTGAAAATTAAAAAAAAAATTTTTAGTTATAACTTAGCGACAAATGAAATAAAGGTGAAAATTCGTGCCATTTTTTATTGAAAATTCGACGCTCTGCAAAATTTTTGAATTTTTTTCATGCTATTTCCATACAAAACTTTGATTGATTTGCGCTCTATCTAAAAGACAATATTAAGAGCTAAAACTTTCAAAGAATTGTTTTTTATCCATTTGGAACCATTTGAGATCTTGGGAGCACGGAAATTCGAAAGTGTCCGTATTATGGACAACCCTAATATATATATATATATATATATATATATATATACATATATATATATATATATATATATATATATATATATATATATGATAATATATATGATAGTTTTTGTGAAATGATGTTGTGGAGAAAAAACTTGATTCTTTGAAGGCCTAGTTGTAATATGATGATAGCTTTGTCGACGTTGATACATATTTGAAATATTTTGCAACCCAATCAAATAAATATTATCATATATATATATATATATATATATATATATATATATATATGTTTGAGAGTAACGAATTATGAAAAACATTAAAGTTTTTAAATATTACAAATTAATAAATTTAAAAATTTTAATTACTTTGGAATGTTAATATCTGAAGCTGAATTAATCGCATGTAACTACTGCAGTATATATGCAGTTTCAGTTAGTTAGCCATGATCATAAAACCATGAATGATGCCGTAAAGATCGCTACATATGATCCCTTTGTCTGGAACAATCTCAATATATGTTTTGTATTAAAACTAT